CAAGTTTGCCAGCATTGAAGGCACGGGCCATAGCCGCAGCAATGTAGAAGCAGTCTCCTTTCCCATCGTTATCCCGCCTGTCAAAAAACTGGCTAAAGAAAGGCGCAGGTCGACGGGCACGTTTAGACTCCGGACCAGAAGGGGACAAGTCACGCTTAATGGCGTTCTGTACGGATTCGCCGTCAGGGTCCACGACCATTTGGGCGTCGGAAACAGAAGCATCAAGAGCAGCAGAACCGGGAGAAGGGCACTCCGAAAGAGCAGAAGATTTCGCAACTTGCAAGCGGCAATGAGCCGGTGCAGCGTGATTGGGCTTCACAGAGGCCTCCAAGGCTCCCCAGGATGAGCGTGGCCGGGCAGAAGGAGCCGAAACCTTAGTGGGTGTGCCCCGGGCCAAATTCACTGAGATGCCGCTGGCAAAAGCCATGGTGACGCCAGAATCAACCGACAAGGAGGGAGGAGGTCTGGCCCGCATGAACCAAGCCTTGCGGCCCTGCCGCTTGATTGCGGAGACGTCCAGAAAGCCACGCTCAGACGCCCAAGCACGGAAGTCATCCTCCGACCAAAGAGGAGGAACACCGGTGACAAACCATCGCGGAGCCAAAGCAGCGGAAGACATGGAACCGCCAACGATGCCCAGCGCGGCAGTGCAGCCAGGACGATAAACCAGTCTGCCCTTGGCCTCCTTGGACGCCTTCTTGGCCATGTCAAGGTAATCGCCATTGGAAGACGCCGAGTCTCTAGGGAGCCACTGGGGGGCATCGCCGGCCCGATGCCGGGAAAGAAAGCAGCCACAAGGCAAGTCCAACCCAAGCAAAGTGTCAACATCCTTGGGCTTGACCACCAGCAGACAGGTCACTTCCGTGTTATATGTAGCCGCCCCACGTACCTGCAGGACAACGCGGCGATGAGCGTCCAAAAGCATCGCAGGAAGGAGGTGCGGACTTTTGGAAGCCTGAGTGTAGAGACTCTCCAGGGCAAACGCCTTGGCGATGGTCAGTCGAAGGAGGACCGTGAATGGCGCATTCTTATCCGCCACATCGACAGGAGAAACAGCAACGTCATCCTTGAGCCCAGCCGGGAGACTTTTTAGTTGCGGGTGACCCTCACCGAGAAAGTCAACCTGAGCTGGGCGCGGAGAAGGACCACAACGGCCGTGAGCCAAGACTTGGGGCTTGCCCTCCGGACAGAAGGTGACAATGGTCAGGGGAGTTTGAACTCCCCTGGCTTTGATCCAGTCCAAGGCCTTCTGGCGCTCAACGCTAGAAGAACAGGCAATGACAGTCTTGACCGCAAGGTCCGACTTATGCAGCGCAGAGTACTTAATGACAGGGGAATCCCAAGCCGGGGCAAAGATGGATGGCGCTGAAGACCGAGCAGGCGGGGCCTCACGAGCCACAGAAGCCCAGGTGGCCTGTTCCGTTGGCGAAGGAGCGGGAGTGGCAGAGACCTGGGGAGCAGGGACAGAGGAAGGAGCCCCAAGAACAGCCAGGAGAGCAGAACGAAGATCATCATCAGAACGAGTGGGACCCAAGTTGCGCCACTGGTCAAAGGCAGTGACGAGGCGGTCACTCAAAGACTCGGCAACCAGGAATTCGTGGCATCCGAACGGGGCGCCTTTGGGGCAGTAGGAGCGGCCCGACCTTTCTTGGCAGGACGCTTGGGCCGGGAGCGTGCGGCACCCTGGAGAGTCGCAACCTGTTGAGCCAAGGTGGCAACAGCAGCTGACAGGGCCTCCAGCTGTTGAGCATCACAACGGCGCCGGACCTTGGCACGGGCACCGCCGCCGCCCCCACCAAGGAGAGGGTCATGAACCTGGATGTCAACCTGCCGAAGCGTACAGATCCACCAGACACGCAGGAAAGCAAGCGTAAGGCGAAGGGAGGCAAGAAGGAGCACGCAGGCACCAACGAAAGCACAAAACCCCTGGAGTAAGAAGTGCAGAAGAGCAAAAGGACCAAGAAGGCCAACAAAGGCAAGCGACAGAGGGGGGCAAGCCCAGGTGGCTACGCACCAAACAAGAAGACGAGGGAGACCCCGGGAGCAACAAAATGTCCGTGCGCTAGGCGCACGGCTTCTGCCAGCTCGGCGGCATGAAGACAGGCGCTTGCCACATGGCATCGGAGGCAAACCAACGAAGACCGGCCAAGCAAGGACCATCACGAGCCAATGGAAAAGTCCACAGGCGCCGCCAAAAGCGAAGGACCCAGACATGCAAGAAAGAGCCAAGCACAAGGCCAGCTCCACAAGCACGAGAGATCGATGCGAGCACAACTGGCGCACAAAAGACACCGCAAACTCGGTAATTCGCAACCACAGAAGCTGCAAGAGAGAAGCAATCGGGCTGTGGTAACCGCATGCAAGCCAAAGGGAAGGTTCATGGTAAGAGCCACGAAAAATCACCCCAAGGCAGAGGTTGCAAAAGATGCAAATAATTAGTGGACTAATTGCGAGTATGCCTGATGTCCGCTGCTGAATCTTCTGACTCAGCCCCACCATCCACCACTTGGAGGTCATCGGCGAGGAGGTACTTCCGACCGAAAGCGTCACTTTGCCCGTGTCCGTCTGGACGTCATCTGCCATTTACAAATATGTTCCGGCCAAAGGTTCTCTTCTTGAAACGTTTCAGCCAAAATGGCTACGATCGCACACATGCACTTACAAGTGGGAATGTGTCAACACAATGAATACACTGCAACTGCGTAATGACCAGCATGATCGCAAGCGAGTCGTGTTTCCAACCGTGCCGACAACATGTTTGCTGGGCACACCTGGTGCTATTTTTTCCAACCTATCGATCTATCTGATAGTCCTCTATCTATCTAATCCCCGCTTGCTGCTTCTTGTCGGTCAAATGCCTCGTTGCGGCGGGGGCACGCGCTGCGCGGGCGGACGGTCGTCACTGTTTTCTATCGAATCATCATGGCTCGCACGGTCTAACCTCCGGCTGGTGACAACCAAGAGCGGCAGGTGCTCCGGCTCATGCCGCGTGCTTGTTGGTGTTGCGCACAGCTTTGCATCCGGCGGGCGCGTCTGCGCGTTCTCGCTATTCATAACTTGGTGCACTCGATCTATTCGCCATCTGTCTGCTGAACTTTCTCTCAAGTACACCTATCTCTTTATTCTGCCTATTCGTCTATCTACCGACCTATGTATTGATCTAATCTACTCACCAAACAATCAACCGATCTATCTTGGAATCTGTCTGTCCACCTTTCTAACTTTCCGTCCATCCATCCATGCATCCTTCTACCTATCTATTCATCGTATTTCTCTTTATCTGTCCGTGTATCTATCCACTTTCCAGATATGCGGCAGTGAGCAATTTCTTTGTGTTTATCCATCTCTCTTTCGACTTACCCATCTATCCATCTAGCCACGCCTACCGGTTTGTCTATCTTATTTCTCTTCAAATTTGTCTTTCTATCTATCCACTTCGCAGATGTCTATCTATCTGTCTCCAGTCTCCATCTAACCACTCATTTATATCTAGTTTTACCTGTATCCACTTCCAGATTTCTACCTATCTGTCTATCTTTCTATCCTCTATCTATCTATCTATCTGTGCATCTATCTATCTGTGCATCTATCTATTGATCGCCCCTGCGAAACTGCTGCGCCTGCCACGAAGTCTGGACTTGACCGTGCAAACGTGCTGCGCCTGTCGAGGAAATTGTACTTCATCTTGCGAAAGTGCTGTGCCTGTCTGAACTTGACCTTGCGATAGTGATGCGCCTGCCACGAAACCTGTCCCTGACCTTGCGAAGTGCTGCGCCTGCCACGAAATCTGCACCTGCGCTTGAAAGCGCTGCGCCCGCCGCGAAATCTGCACTTGGCCTTGCAAAAATGCTGCGCCTGCCACGAAATTAGTATATTCTTTGACACCCGCCCGATTGTAATTTTGGAGTCCATACGACCACCTTTTTGGCGATCAAACCAATGTCACGGATACTCAACCTTGTGAAAGGGCTGCGCCTGCAACGAAATCTGCACTTGAAATTGCGAAACACGACATCTGTACCTGACCTTGAGACAATGCTGCGCCTGCCACGCACATCAAATTTGAACCTTGCGAAGCCTTCGCGTTGCTGCGCCAATGGTCCCGCGCTCCGAACGCCTTCCGAGGCCTCTCTGACCAGGCATCCTGATCAGGCTAATTTCCGAGCATCCCAAAGCTCGGAAGCTCGGAGAGAGTTGCACTTTGCCAACGTTTCACTACTCCCGCCACTGCAGAAATCGTTCCCGTGTTATGATCCCAGGCTCCGTTCCGTGACAAGTCTCCCCTCCCCACTGGCCCTGGTTTCATACGCGGCAACTCTACAGGTAGAAGCTGCTGATTAAGTGATCGCCTCCTACCGTAAAGCTGCTTCAAGTACCACATCGGCACCCAATTTAACCCGATCTCCAGCTGGAACTTCGCAACTTGCAACGCAAGCTCAGTACACCCAGTGCGCGCTCTCTGCCCGCAAGGTCCATGGACTTTCGTAAAACCTTCTAAACCGTGGCATTCCGTTTCGGATGTTGCCACTGGAAAGCAAAACTGTTGGAGGAGCTGCCAAACCTGCACGGCCAGTCTGCCAAAATGGACGTCTTAAGGGTGCTTGACCAAAGCCCCCTTTACGCCTTGCACAAAACCTTCGCCGTACACCCAACAACTGCAAGAATTCTCTTTCGCGGACCTTGCAGGGATGTGCAAGACCTCCTGCCATTCGTTTCTCAATAGGATTTTCTACTTTTCTGCGGCTCTTGAGCATTGCTCCCAAAACGCCTCCTGCATTGATCAACCTTTCGACCATTCGGCTGGGACCTTTGAGCCGAGACGTCCTGCGCCCCAACGCCGGCATACAAATCAAACATTCCCCTGAATTCCTTTTGGCTTCCTGTTAACAGACTGAAAGCTATCTGATGGCTCCACTTTTGCTCACGTAGGCTAGGGATCCATTTCCGCAAAGCGGCTTAGTTCCCCAGAGAGATGTTTGCTGAATTCTGCGCTAAGCCGCTTCTACGCCGGCCAAGGCGTGCAGCTGTTCCTGGAAGGTGCAGAGAGGTGTGCGCTTCAACTGCTACCGAAAAACTGGCAACTTAGATCAAAATGGGTTGCTCTTTCGGGGGGAGCTTTTTAAAATGTAACTGCACAGCACTCGTTGGGTCCAAGTCCTATCTTCGGACAAACCCAACAGTCAAGAAAATGCTGATGTGTCAACACCGGGACACCCCAAACACTTGGTTGCCCCGCGTGCAATCAAATGACCTGGCAAAGCACGGAGAACCTCATGTGAACTGCCTGATCAAGGGCGACTGCGACAAAAAACAGCCAAACAAACTCACTAATTAGATGTCTTTAGCTGGGTGGGTATGTATCAAAAGTGACTCCGAGGCGTGCCCTTGCCGTTTGCAACAGTCCTCTTGGTGGCCAATGAGTTGCGAGTTGCTTTGAATTCGACAGCGGTCGTCCAGTTGCGCCAGGCTTATGCAGCGCCCCAAACACCCCCCCCCCATCCCCCCTGCGTTGCCTGATCTTTGTTGAGGGGGGGATGAAAAGTTCGGATGATGAGCCCTGGCGTTTCAGGGATCCCACCCAAACACATGAGACAGAGAGACAATGCGCCACTTCACCCAGTGTTGTGTTTGTTTTGCCTCTCAATGAAGGAGCCCGAAGCATGTAGAAACCCTCTTTGGTGGGAGCCGTTTTGTGCTCCAAAAAAGCCTCAAATTGCTCACGGGAAAGTCTGTTTTCCAACCTCGTGGGTAAACATCAATCACTTCTCTAAAGGTTGCTGCCTGCTAAAAAAGAAGTTCCGCTGCTTTCTCCCTTTGACAACACAAATCAAAACTGCGGGGAACCCGGACTCTCGAACCTAACACAACAAAATCCGCCCATAATTGTGGAGCAATATCTAACCTTGAAGGGAAGTGTGCGGGTTTCTATATATATATATATATATGTATGTGTGTGTGTGACAATACCTATGTATCTATCTATCCATCTATCTATCTATCTATCTAATCTAATCTATCTATAAATATATATATATATATATCTATGTAATATCTCTATTTGTAGGGTGAGGGCTTGATGGTGTCCAGGCCCCGCCCGAGAGCACGGCTCCCAGTCAAGGCACGCCCAAGCGCTTGCTGCTGGTCAGCGCAGTCTGCAGGGCCTCGCACGAGACAAAGGTGCTTTGATGGGGGCCTTTGCCAAAACTCGGCGTCCATTCAAATTCTTAGCTAGGTTTGCGCATGTCTAGGGCAGACTCTTTCGTTTGCACAGGGGGGTAGAGGTTAAAGGCCGATAAACAAAGTTGCTAGAACATGCGAGGCTCATACAAAACACGCAGTGTCTGGCTTGCAGTTATGATCTGTCAACGGCGGCTCCAAGAATCATTGAAACGCTTGCCCTCCACTGAGAGGGCTGATCCCAAATCCCAGACTGCACGCGCGGCTTCTCAGGACTGGCATCCTCCGCCTCTTTTTCTTGCTAAGTGCGTCATAAATCGCACAGCCAGCGATTAGGCCGTTTTGCAAGTGGAGGGATTTTTCAATACTTCAAATTTCCATCACCCACTGCTACAGGGTGGGCCAAAAATTCAAAATAGGAGCTACTGTCCTTCCTACGAGTCTTGCCTCACATCCTTTCCGCTCCAGAAGCCCACCCCTGCAAAGACCGCAGGCCCTGACAAACAGAGTAGGACAACAACCTTTGGTTTGAAAGATGTCCAATACCTGAGAGGCATAACTGTTGGCTGCTTAGCTGCAAGAGCTTGCGCTGGATACGTGGGAACGCGTCCAGTGTTACCATGGATGCCTGCAAAGGGTGTATGTTTGATGCGCACAGGTCACGAGCTCCCGTCAAAAAAAACGAGACACTCCAGTGTTCGGAGCTCAAGCCTGCTGGACTGGGAATCGCCACTCGCGCTTTGGAGAAGTTGGCTGACGCATTTGCTCCTTCAACCAAAGTTGACTCTGGACATGTAAACAGCGGTCTGGACAAGTTCATGCTCTTCTTCTTTTTCGGAGTGGTGATTTGAAGGAAACACTGTCCAATGCGGAAGGCGACACGATTCTGGTGGCAAGAAGGGTGTCTGCAAACAATAGAGAAACCACACCCTTTGGATCTCCGGCAGCAGAATCCATTTTATACGCAACCAGCTGTCAAACGGTTTCTGGCCCCGCAACCTTCTTGGCAAACCATGGCTTGATTTGTGGCCCAAACAAAAGCCGCCGCTTGAATGCGCCTCCTCCGCATGTCGCCGCCCGCGCCGCTGCTCGGCCGCCTCTTGCTGCGCTGCTGACAGCGCCGCCTGAGCCTGGAAGCGACTACTTGACCTGGGGCAGGCCATTTGAATCTCTGCGTTTTATTGCAACCTGTTTGTCAAAAAACCCCCAAACCATGTTGTTTCAAGCCTTACTTGACAACCCTTCACCCAAATTTAGCCCTTCCTTTTTAAACCCCCCTTTCCTTCCAACCCTTCGCCTTTTCCTGTCAATCTGTTTTCAGCTGAACCTGTGGCAGAAGCCTGCGGCAACTGCAGTGAGCTAGGGTTTGAAGCTCCCTGTAAGAACCTGATGAAGCTCCTTGAGAAACCTCCTTACAATATCCTTTCCAGGCTCTTTATACTATGCATAACTTTTTATAGGACACATATATTCAAAATAACTTAATGAGGAAAACATTAACACGAATTGGTATTTAGAATGGTAACTAGCAAGGAGCTTCGTTCCAAACAGGATATTCATTTTAAAACGCCCTCACGCATACCTTAACAGGACAATAGTGTAAACATAGCCTGAAAAAATGTGATGATGAAATTGAATTCGGTTATGAATTCCTTTCCCGATGACACGCTAATTGATTCGACATTGTGTAGAAATCTCATTCAAAATCAGTTTTGAAATACAATTATGTTCATTTAATGTTGCAAATGGGACAATACAAGTCAGGAATGATGCACAGTCACCAGCAAACGGGGCAACACAAGATTTGGAGAAACATTTGCATCGGATTCGCAGAGGGACAAAACACAAACAGGAGTGACATGCAAAGGATAGATTATGCAGGAGGATCAGCGAATCTATGCATATACCTGTATGTATACAAGTACATATTTACATGTACAGCTATTGAAAGTTACTTGGGAAGCTGTTTGTCTCCGTTAGGGCAGAGCCCGGCGGGGAGTCACTCCGGTAACCTTGACTAGAGGCACCTCAAACATAAGCAAAGCAAACCAGACAGGTAAAATCACCAAATGAAGCGACTCACAGAGCCTACTAACATACCCCAAAATTACGTACCATTTTGGCATGCACTTTGCCAGGCCACGTTGAGTTGCATTCACGCTTATGCTTGGCTGCAAGCCATGGCTGTTGCCAGTTTCCCTCTTCGGGGCAACGCAGGACTTGTCTTTCTTCCACAGTTGGGGCAAAGCAGATGGGTCCACAAACAGTCAGGCGATAGTGGTGGCGCCATTCCTAGGCTGAAGCCGAACTTTGGATTCCCGTTAACCCCCCGCAATCACTGATGAAGCCCTAAAAAGAAAACGACAATGTATTGAGCATGCTTCCGCTTCAGGGCACCCAACTACACCTAACAAATACATCCCCCGAAAAAATCGCCCATGGCCGATTCATTCCATCGGTCTCCCCCGCTCACATGGCCTCCTTGGCCGCTTCGGCCGCCGCCACGCCAGAGGTCACCTAGTGCTAAAGCGGAATTTGGGTGGGTCTTGTTTGGAGTTGGTTCCTTTTTTGGGCTGGAAAGCCACCTCTTTTTCTTTGCGGGGGTCCCCAAAGAAAACACACCCATGTAGAGTCCGCTTTTCTTTGGGGGTTGTGTTTAGCCCCCCCTGCCCAGGTTTTGTTTGAAGGGGCGCCGGGATCAGAACTCCTCACAGAATCCTCACAGATCCCCAAAAGGAAGCCAAGGCCAGCCAAGGGTGTCCCTGTCCCAAAAGCGGATTCCTTACACAAAACATCGAATGCTATATCTTCCTCAAGACTCCTTTGCGGGCTCGACCTGCTTTGATGCCTTTGGGTGCGGCCCCCTTTCCGCACCCCGCCTTGCGGTGGCCGAACTCCACCTCGCTGAGCTTTACCCGCAGGTCCGCGGCACGCTGGGAGGCCTCGCCTCGAATTCGCGCGCTCGCGAGTGACTTCTTTTTTTTGGGGTTGGGTGGGGGAAAGAGATGTTTTGGGTTGTTGGGGAGATTATGTGGGGGACTGTCTTGGGCGTGGTTGAATGCGTTCAGCCGAGGAAAACACAGAACAATAAGTCACCAGGCGAAGGGAACACGCACTTCACAGGGCCTCCTTTGACCAGTTGGGTGGCACAACACTCCCATCCAGTGGGGCAAGCTCAGGGCTTTTGTGATACCAGGAGAAACTTTACCCTAAGCAAAGAGCAAGTCATCGTGAAGACGGTGGTATCTCAAAAATGTTTGCGAGTCCCACAAGCACGTAGAGCAAGCCTTCCTTTTTGAGGAACTAGCTTCTTGAGTAGCTGCCCACAAACCTAGTAAACAAGCTTTGTGTTTACTATCTCCCTTAAATGATTCAAGACCAAACTAAATTCTGGGAAAGAGAGGGAATCTTGTTGTTCCACTTCAACAAGTGCCACCCTGAAGGGAACCAGACCTGGCAACCTAACAGCAGGACCATCTGAGGGCCCTCAAAAAACCCGGGACGGTCGACACCCCCCCTCCCCCGCCCCCGGTTAGTGAGGCACCATTTGCCCAGTTTGAGATGCGCTTTGCGCAACGTTTCAATGCCCTCGCCCGCCTCGCCCAGCACGGGAACACATGGTACGTTGATTGGTTGATTTTGAGGGGAGTTCACACAAAAGAAAAAAACAACGACGGTTGCGACCGGGAACTGAGACCACTATGCAGATCTAAGGCGCTTGATTCACGAGCGGCAGCGTCTGCTTTCTCTTGCAGATTGCGGTTCTCCTCCCCGAGGGATGCGTGAGCTTGTTGCCTGAGCTCGCATCAGACGCGCGCAAACTGATTGACCACCCCCCCGCCCCCAAACAACTGACTCTCCCGCGCCCAAAACGCCAAGTACTGTGCAACAAAAAGTTGGTTGGGGGGTGCTGGTAGGCTCCAACGAAAATGTTCACTTTTTGGGAACAAACGTGATCGACTTGAGGCACCCCTCGCAGACCAACCCTCTCGTCCCGCCCAATCAAACAAACAAATAAATAAGCAAACAAGTATATTATACAGTGTATATATATCTATACATATGTGCATGGGAATGAATTATCATGAGGGTCAGCGGCTATCTTGAAATTCTGTAGGGCCCTGTTCCAGGCTTGAGGGATCATACAGCTTTGCGGCCTCCATTGCAGAGCTTTCGACAGCAATTCACAACATTTGTTCACTACGAAAAAAAAGCGCAAAGTACACTTCCGCAATCCAGGTCGAAAGTAGCAACTGTTCAGTACAAAAGTAGTACACAAAGTAAACTTCCACAGCCAGTCGAGACTTTTTAATCTCAAATTAGTGCACGAAGGGCACTTCCACCCCAGCCCCAGCTCGCAGCAACAAACAAGGGGACTCGCTGGCCACCCGTCCAGAAACTGGCGGGGATGTCGCAAACATTGCCACAAATCTGGCTGGGAAGTTGCACTCAACTGAACCCGAAAGCCTCACAATGCTTCACAACTCCAACTCCAACAAACTGTTTTCTGGTGGGGTGATTTTTGCAGCCACGCATTCTTGCGGCAATCCTCTGCGCACACTGCCGCAAACACATGTCCAATGTGGTTTCTCATTCCAGCTTCCTTTTAGCAAACCACCCTTATACAAAACTTTCGCGACGAAACAACAACTTTTGCGACCTCCATCTCGAAGCTTTTGGGAAGGTCAACACTAAGACCAAAAGGTCTTCCCCTTCATATCTGAATAGTCGACTCCCATTCCATCTTTTGAGGTGGTTTCCTATATTTAATGTCACAGCCACATGCATAATGTAGGGCCTACATGATTAGAATTGGGTTGTGGGGCAAGTTCACACCATAAGTAGTCATGATTACTGGTTACCACTGATATGTTTCAGCCATTTATGCCTGTGTCTCCCGGCGGGTTCGTTTTTTTCTGCCTTCCATCAAAATGAGACTTCTTACGAAACACTTTTGAAGGTCAAGCATTGCAGGCGGTCCCTTGCCAAATGGAAAAAAAAGGACGTGCGCCCGTCCAAACGGCAACTTGTCCCGTCCAATCGGCAACTTTCTCGACCGTTGGACGGGCTTCGAAGTGGCATTTTGTGAAACGGTAGTTTTTTAGGCAAACGGTTCTTTCCGCGAGCCGGAACACGCCAAAAAAAACAGTATGTTGTTTCGTCAAACGGCAAACAAATGTATCCAACCGGAAGTCGCACGTATTAAAAATAAATATGTGGAGGGAAATGCCGTTTATATAATGTGTACATATATGCATATATGTATATATATATATATATATGTACATATATATATATATATATGCACCTGTGTATGTTTATATATACGTGTATCTATAAATATGTCACTGTATGCACGTGTATACATACATATATATATATACATACACTTATATTTATAAAACATGTATAAATCTATATATATATATATATTATATATATATATATAAATAGGTATATTCATTCCCTGTGAACCGAGCCCAAGCACCTGGGCTCCCGGGCAGCTCCAAGTGCTCCACATCCTTGACCTCGAGCGCCGCTTCCAGGGCACTGCGCCTTGGAGCTCTGCAGAAGCACTCGCTGTTTCCGCTGGCGTCAGTTGCCGGTGGTACCCGGGGTGGAAATTAGGAGGGCGTGTGTTGTTTTGTGCTTTGCTTTTTGTTGTCTGTTTGTCTTTTTTCTTTAGGCTTGCGTTCAAAAACCTACAAAGGGGTACCCTCACAAAAGACAACCCTTCCTGAGATTGGGAAGACTTGCGGCATGGGACGGAGAAACCCGTAGATTGGCGTTGACATCCCCTTGGCTTTCGGGCCCAATTACTCTTGTCTGCAAGGACCACCCCGCGCTCCCCACTCCATGGGTCGATGCAACAATCCTGAGGCTGGTGGATTGCGCGGGCCAGACTTTCTGAATCCAAACCTCACAAGGGGCAGGTTTCTCATTCGTTGCTCCCTGCTTTTGGTTGAGCCCGGAACAACTTGGTTGACGTCAGAAGGAAAATGCCTTTGATCGCCAGGCCTAGGCCTGGACAAAACTTCAGCTCTGTCAAGAAAGCATTGGCCATACGCTTCAAGCCAAGATGATCCTTTTCCGAGACGTGGCAACATGTTGGCGCTCGCCATATTGTCTATCAAATCATTCGGGCCTGTATATCTTTGGGGATGGCCTTGCATGGCCACACCATGAAAAAAACATGCCGAGGAATCTGACTTCCCCGTAGCAGGCTACAAGCGCTTCACTACATGGAAACTGGGCACTGGGGCACACACTACCAGGGTCGGACCGACCACCTTCAAACAACCATGATAGCTGGTTGCTTGCACCAATGCGCTGCCGTGCGGACCGCGCCAGGGTGCCTTTTCTTTCATCAAGCAGTGAAGCCCCGTGCGCTAATCCGAAAGTATCAAAGATTCTGCGGTTGCTTCTAGATTGGGTATCCCAAAAGTTTCCCGTCTAGAATGCGTACCTCGGTTTTTCACTTCAAGACACATCTGTGGGTACCAGTCGCCGGTGGATCTCGGACCCGACGGCAGGGAGGCTCGGGGAAGTGGTTGGCCCCCTTTTCACCCACCCAAAAAGCACCCATTTGAGCACCAAGCCCATGCGCGGGCTTCCTCCCATTTCGCAAACCAGTAGACAAGCAAAACCGGTCACCTTTCTTGCTAATTAGTTTCAAACAAAACTGAGTACACCTAATGCTTCCACTTACCAATATATATATATATATATTATAGTATACAAGCAGCCATGGCTGCCTCTAAGTTCTCCCCTGGTTTCCTAATAGTGGCGAAACGACGGGAAGTGGGAAAGTTGGCAAAGGCCGCAGGATGAGTTTCAGCCGACTCGCTGGGCTCCCTCGCCGCGCTTCCTCCTGAGTCCCCGGAAACGATTCGGCGAAACACCGAGTCTTCAAGTCTGCCGTGAGTTCAACACGGCTGAATGATCTCGGTGATCCGCTTGCCTTTTTGCTTTTCTGGCGCGGGACTTTTTGGACCAAGTTTGGGAAGCTTCTGCACGTCTGCCAGGCGACAAGCTGACCCTGCTCTCGCAAGAAACGCCCGCAATGGCCCGCCAAACGAGCGCGCAAACCTGGGAAACCTGGACCCTCAAAAAGGAACAATCTTTATTTTGCTTATTACTTTTCTTGCTTAGTTCGCCAAATGAGCGGAATTTCCGAACTCTAGGCGGAAACTGCCAATTGCATGTTTCGAAGCGGTTTCTGCTGATCTAGCCTGATCTTGTACATCGACCAGCGTTTCTCGAAGGGCTTTCATGCGGGCACCTTCCAAAATAGGAGTGGGACATGTAGGTTTCCGTGACATGGTGCAGGGATGCGCCACAACCCCAAACAACGTGAGGTTCAGCTAGGAAATTGCCCCCATTGTTGCAATCGCTGGATTTGTGCCAAAATCATTCAAATTTGGCCACCCAAAATACGTGGAAATCGGCGGCGCGGAAATCGGCGCGAAATACGCGGCAGAAAATACGCGCAAATCTGCGGCAAGGCCATTTGAAACTTGCCTGTGTCGCTTGAAGAAATTGCGGGCTGGGCACCCGTCCTGCTACGTGACTCTCATGAACAGCTGGTGAGGAATGGTGACTCCACAGGTTGAAAGGGTCTAGAGTTCGTAGGCTTGGAATTGACCATGGGATTGACGAGGGCAAAGAAGTGGCTGGCAAGCAACCATGGAGAGGTCGAACCAAAATGCGTGTTGGTTGAGTAAATAAGCGCTTTTCCCAAGTTCCATTGGCCGCTGAGCTTGGCAAATGGCCCTGCCACGAGCGGGCTGCGAATGGTTTCTAAACTGGTGGGTTACAAACCTGAAGTGCGTTCAAAAGTGCCTTCAAGCTGACGCCACTTCCACTGAGAACAGCGGTCGCTGGCTGGTGCTGCGGGCCTTGTGATGTCTTTTGTTCGTGCACCATGAGCACAAACAAAGGTATCGAGTAAAGACTACTTGGGTTCCTGCAAATGGCAAGGTGTTCCTAGTCATTCCTTTTCTCCAAGGGCCCAACTTGTTCAAATCCTCCAAGGGCCAAAAGGGAAGCGCAAAGCCTTTCATATATTTAGCAACCACAATGTGAGTGTGAGACACAGGCTGCGCAGCAACAATTGTCTGAATTTCAAAAGCACTTGTGCACGTAGGAGAAAACCGGGGCGCGGAAATGGTGCCTGGTCAAACATTGACGGATGACTCGAACCTTTGAAGCCTCGTCTGTGCCGAACCATATAATACAACTTTGAAATACGGGCCTATTCCATATGCTAAGATGTTTGCTGGACACCGCAACAATTCCCCAACGAGCAAACTAAAACAGCCAGCCAGCCAGCCAGCCAAACAGACAGAGAAACATGTAGACAGACAAACAAATAAACAAACAAACAAACAAACAAACAAACAAACAGACAAACAGATAAGCAAGCAAGCCACAAAAACCGAACTCGAAGCCGAACCCATATCCCAGACAGCCCAAACCAAAGCCATGTCCGAAACAACTCAAACAAGAAATTAAATATCCCTGGCCAAACAATGTATCATTGATTCTGCTCTCAATTGACTCCAAACACCAAAGGGTTGAACCATCCCTTCCATTTGCTCCAGTTTTTTCTGGGAGAAAAACCAAAAGGCATACTTCCAGTAGTCATAATGAGTCATAGATTTCTTTAAAACCAAAGAACAAACAACACACATATTATTATGTATATATATATATGTAGATATATGTATATCATGTTTGAGCACCTGAAAGATCCGTGTGAGGCTGGGGCTCCTCGATCACTTTCAGCCGCGCCTCTCCGAGCTCCTGTGCAAGGAGCATCCTTTCAGAAATGAAAAAAACACATGCTATATGGGTCTGGGTGCAAAATAGGTATCCACAATGGAACCCTGGCAAGTGGAAACATGGACAAAACCCTGCGTTTTTTGTTTTGTATCTGGTGGCTTAATTTTGACCCATACCCATATCCCCAAAAATGGACACAACCCAAAAACGCGATATCCCTTGGACCGTCACCTTCCAAGCACTGCTGGTTGGACAGGACTTGGGAAAATGGACCGTCACTTCCCACTGCTTGTTGGACGGTTGGGCAAAAAAAAAAAGCGGTGTACTGGGACTCGAGATTCTCGAAACCCACTCAGTTTTCTGCTTTAAAGATAAGGCCAAGGGTTGTTTCCCAAGGGAAGCATAAGAATCCCGGGTATACGGCGTCAAGAAACATCTGCGTGCCTGCCCCAAACAGGCAACCTGTTTACACCCCAACCATGTCTGTAACCATGTTGCTTGCGCCGTTCAGACAGGGGGCATATATGAGCCGACTTCCTCAGGCGCAAGCAAGTCCAATCTATGTTTTTGGGATGCGCCTTAAAAACGGCGTGGAACGACAAGGGTGCCACAAGGCACCAAACATATTGACAAAACATTGTCTACCTGCAACCACCGCTAAGATGGAGACAGTATTTCATCGCGAGCATATGTCAATTCCACCGATGTCGAAACAAAGGGTACTAACCTCAAATGTTGATGACACAGCAAGGCAAACAAGCATCAAGGATGTGCACTCAATGGATGCTTGAGATTCGGCATTGCAGTCAAGTCACAGCGTGCAGGTTCTCGATTCAGCTAACATCTTGGGGCAGCTTGGTCATGTCTAAGCCATCTTGAGGTACGTACTGCCCTGAATTGAAAATCATGCATGTCTTGAAGCAGGGCTCAGGCGAAACCAATCTACACTGCCAAATAAATGCCGCAGCACCTATATACGGATGCCACTTGCGGAATGGCCATGCAACACGACTTGCTCTGTTTGCTTGTGGTGGATCTTGAAGGGAAGCCCCTCAAGAAATATATACGTGCTGAACAACCGAGGATGAGCAATGGAATCAACCTTTCACATGCAAAAATAGTGTCTAGACCAAACTTGAGAAGCCATGCAGTCTGTAGACATGGGCAAAAGTGAAGTATCGAAACAAAGGCAAATCAAGCCAGACCCCCTCTTGCAAATGTTGCGATATGTCTAGACCTGTATAAATGCACCCTTCTGTCCACGGAAAGTAGCGAAGGACCCACTACACGACATGGGTGAAGGAACTGCTGAGCATAGACCGCTCTCGCGCAATCTGTCGCTTCCTGCTGGAGGGCTGACAGCTTGCCCTCCAACTCCTTGCGAGTCAGGCACAAAACGAGCCGCTCAAGTTGAACCCACTCCAAATACCAACTGGGCGTGTCTCGGCTGGTCTTTTTGGAGTTGGTACCTTTTTTTAAGGTTTTTAAATGGACATCAAAAGAACAACCGGCGGGTCTTGCAAACGACGCCCAAAAGAGTGCAATATGTTTGTTGGAAAGGGGCTTGCTCCCTATTTGAAGGTTGGATATTGACACAACGGCGAAGGGAAGAAGGGCGGCACTGGCAAACTGGGGAGAGGACTCTAGTTGAACCTTTGTTTGATGAGAAATAGGTTAGCTTGAACATCAACTCGTTGCGGCTTTCGCAAGTGGTCCAGGGTGTGGAAAGCTTGCGGTCCCGAAACCTCCGAGTTCTGTGATAACCCATATCCCTTTGAGAGGAACACAAGTCGCGCTGGGGAACCTGTACCTTGGCGGATGCCAAAGTTTCGGGTTGCCTCGGATCGTCTTGGGGATCCATCGAACTCTAGAGCCACTTTCAACTTGCTGCTGAGTTCCTAACATGGAATATATTGGTGTGGGTCAAAATTAAACCACCAGCGGACCGCAGATTTAAGTCCTTGGCTCCATTTACCAGGGTTCCATTTTGGGTAGCCATTTTGACCCACAGCCGTATGGAACAGGGAATGTGTGTGTCCAAAGGCAAACGTGCAGGCGACTGATTTGCCGGAATTGGTGTTGGTTTCGAGTTCAAGGGGCAGGGTGCCTTCGTCCAGGAGTGATTAAAACAGAAGGACGCTGCAGGGAATTGCCCACGTGCACGAGCACAAAAGACATGGCCCCTGCCCAGAGCGGTGCGCTCAATGACCCCTTTGCCCGGAACCCGTTCATTGGTACGACCGCTTGGATCATTGGACCAACCAGGTGACCGACATCCTGGCTTTGGGCAGGTTCCTGCAGGGTGGCAGGAAGATTCCAGCATGGTTTTGGGGCTGAGGATATATACTCTTTAGGCTTATGTACTTGCCGTTCTTTGAAACAGGGGTACCAAAGGGAAGCTCAAACAATTCCCATGCAGCAAACCATGACATGTGTCAGAACAAAGGATTGCTCGAAACATGTTGCGGCAAGCCGCCCACGCACTGTCAAGGGCAGAAGCCCTTTTGGGAATTGCTCGATTTTGTCACTTGCTCAGTGCCTGGCAAAATGACTCACTCGATTGCTGGTTGACTGAAATGGAAACCTGCTAACCCAAAAAGGAAAACGGGTGTCATCAATCAGGCGAAGGGCTGGGCGGGGAAAAACAACGGTGCTAGCCTGGCTTTTTCTGACCATTTGCAAGCAATGAAGTTGGACAGCGCTCGTCCACCCCATGTTCATGTCCTTTTCAAACAATCAAGTACCGTAAAGAAAACTATGCTCCCCAACATAGCTGTTACACAAAGCTACCTGAAACCGCACGTCCAAACATTGTTCTATTGACCAACACGCGATTCTGGCAATGTTCCTGCCGATACAAATTCCGCAACTTTTCAAGGCGAGTTGGGCCTGAGGCCTTCAAAGCTGGTGCTGTGCACTGATCATTTCGCCAAAGCTTCATGGCGACCCTGGATTGACCACTCCCCTGTTTATCTGTTGATTTTTCTCTGGGGGTGTTCCGAACCCTGAAAGCGACGAATCCCCACTAAGAGCAAAAAACACGCCCCACGTGAATAACCGGTTTCGAAAGCCGGGGTCAACATGACCCATCTTCCAAATGCTCAACCTCCCCACAACCAGTCCCCCAGCCTCCCGGCGCTGCTCGAATTCCGAGACGCGTTCCTTCTGCTCCGCCAGAGATGCCTGTGTTTTTGTTGCGGGCGGATTGCCAGGATGAAGCTTCCAAGATCCCAGGCTCAAAGCAGAAGTTTTCTTTTCGGATCCTTTGACCTTTGCCCAAAGGCTCAAAAGGAACACTCTGGTGAAGGGCCAACTATTCGAATGCTGATTTCCCAGAATCTCAGAAGTATAGAATTCTGAGACATCTTGGCACACCAAAACTACGCGGTCTGCAGATCCCGGCGCGTTTGTGATTCATGGGGTAGAGCTACTCAAAGCCATGCCTACGCGAACTCATGGAAGGGTGCCTGCGCAAGCCTACCTTGGCCATCCACTTGCCAATGCCGCGCATCAACAGAGCCGCCCTCTATGCGCAAGAACCAAGAAAAGCAACCACAACCCGTTCAAGGTGGCGGCCCCGTCTGGAAGCTCCGCCTGGCTCTTGGCTCGGAGAATCTCTGAGCTCGAATTGCTACTGTGGACGGTTGCGAAATCCTGCACCACTTTGAAACCAAGGGAAAACATTGTTTGTTGGCATTTAATTACAAGCAAATCATCATTCGAGGGTAGGTGGTGCAGGATTTTGTCCATCCACAGTATGTCCAAAGGAACAAGGAATCCCAGAACAGACCTCCCTGAGCTGGTGTTGCCCGATCCGCGGATCGGTCAGTCTCCACGAACTCCTTTCACGCGCGACGAGTTCCGCGCCTTCAGTGCAGCTTGCTCCTGCGGCCGATCACGACGAAGTGACCTCGAGTGCTCCGGGAAAACCGTTGCAGGCCATTGGCAAGAGTGGTCGCCGAAAAAAAACAACGACAAGCGCAAAGGAAATGTTGGACCCAGTTTTAACAAGTTGGCCTTCGACACACAAGGACTGACCGCAAGATGCATGTTCCGTGAGGGGCAACCCAGTCCTTTCACCTTATTCTACCAAAGTGGTCTCATAGGATCTGCCATCACGGTGTTTCTCGAATGTATTGAGCACAGAGCGAGCACATACAAGATTCCTCTTTAAACATTCCCAAGCAAGGGTGCCTTAAGCGCCAAGGATCTCCTGGAAAACATGCCCAAATGGACCCCAACCTTGCCCAAGCGGATTCGCATGGCAAAAGGAATTGCTCCATTTTCCTCATTTTCTTTTCACAAGGAGGCAAAGCCTGAGAAAACATGCATCATGTGGGGATGGCCCTGAAACTCCTCCGATCCCATTTGTGCATATGTCCAATTGGAAAGCAGCTATATTTGGCCCTCGGAAATCCGACAGGACCCTTATGCGGATGCACGTCAGAAATCGCTTCCCATCCAAAACACACGTGGTGCATTCTTCATCCCACCCTCGGCCAATCCGTCCTCCTCCAGGTGGCTGATATGACCTTCTCGTGCGGACAGATTTGCCCGCACCTAGACAAACTTTCGGACGAAATCAAGAGGCTCAATTTCCTAGAGGACAAATGGTAAAACAAAAATGGGGTGTGAGAAAAATGGGGGGAAAACAAATCCAGCCCCTTCTGGGTCGGGAAGATTGGAGATCCACACATCTAGCACACAAGTGACCACTATCTCCCATAGGTCCTATACCAAATCCAGTGCTTCCAGGCAAGCCTCTGCAGGTAACCAGAGATCCTTACGTCTACCCCAGCACCCAACGGCCGCTTTTCTCGTGTCAAAAAAGCACATATTTCCCAACAAATAGGAAGTCTAGAAACTTGGGAGGTGAGGGCAAAAGGGATGTGAACAATAACGGTCAATCAGTCGAGGCACATCCGTGAGCTCCTTCAGAAGCTGGTCCCGCTCCTGATGGCTTCCAGGCTTGGAGCTCTGTTTGAGCACAAGTTGACGCTTGAACAAGACACAAGCACGGGGGGCAGCAGCATGTGTTCCTTCGAATTTATGTCTTATGTCTAAAATACCATTGGACCAAATATTATTTATATCTGCAGTGTAGATACATACACGTATATATGACCATGACGGCAAGTCCCCTTTCTGGAATGCGGGTAAGGAAAGGAAAATCCAGGAAAGCATCCAGGAGCCCAAACAAATAATGGATAGTACAGAACAGTTCCAAGCAGCCAGGCAAAGTGGAGCTACAAGAAGTGGTTGAAAGGACATGAAAGCACGCCGGCCAAATACGGGGGATCCCTCATTTTGCGGAAAGCAATACACAAATAGGCCCGTCCTCCACAGTGCCGGCGAGCTTGGCTGATGCCTTGCAGGCCAACTCAGGCACAGTCAAGCCAACAAGCAGTGCAGTTTCACTGACCAACGCAACATGAAGCAAAAGCATTGCTGGCCAACCTGGAGTGAGAAAAAAAAGAACTGCATATCAAGGGCAGAGTCCGTTTACCAACTTGAATACGTCTTCAGGCTCTCGTTCACCATGCTCTCATTTGCGCACTCATTGTCTATTGTTTATCTGCCCTTATTGCTTCGACTCAGGCAGTCACACAAACGATGCTGGGTAAATAGGCAGTCAACAGTTCTGTAGTAGGAGTTTGAACAACAGTAACGACGATTGTCTTGGCTCCGACACGCGGAAAGGTATTTTCCTTTTTGGGCTCCTTTCAATAACCAACCCCACAAGTAATGTCCTTTCCAACCTCGGAACACCGACCAAATAATGGGTTTTCCAGTCGAGACGCCGCATCCAGCTTCAGCTTGGATCCCTCCAATTGGCTCTTCTGTGCTTGGTGCCCGTCCCGAAGGTCCTTCCAAAGCGCCGCGCGCTCGCTTTGGCAAAGCGAGCCCAGCGGATGATGACACGGGAAGTCTAAACAAAGTACAAAAACTTGGCAAAATAATCCCACAACCATTTAGCTTCATCGGGGAGCAGCCCATTTTACTGTAAGGTGAGCTTGCTAGCAATAGTGCAGTAGACATGTCAGTAGACATGTCAGTAGACATGCTTGGAACCCGTTCAGCGAAGGACAAACAACGATGTGTCACAGTGTAACAGGGTCACCTCTCGGAGGCACGGGTCATCTACCGAGAAAGGTCCCTATTCATTTGTCAGTTTGTCGAGCCTTGTGACAAAAGCCATCCTACCTCCAAACAGGGCAATGGGTGTGGGTCAAAACTAAATGATACCATATTTTGGGGTAGGTGCACCACCCATTTTGACCTATTTTAGTGGGGATTGGGATGTTCACTAGGGGTACGGGGTTCTGACCCATGGCCAAATTTAAGTATAGCAACATTGGGAACGCAAAGCGCAAAGGCATGACGGTGCCTTCGAACACTTGCTTCCAGGAAACGGGGGTTCACCTGCACAACCCCAGCTGAGCGTGATCCGAAGCAAGGCTCCGATGCCTACACGGCCATTCCCAATGTAGGGGAGGAAATCAAATGTAAGCCAACCCCCAGGAAAGGCTCTTAGAACCTGAGAGGCTGCAAGAATCTGCAGGGAATGAGACCAATCGAGCTGAAGCTTGCCACTGAGCTGCACGGAGAAAGGTGGCAGGGCCCCTCTGGCGGACCAGGCGCAACCGCGCAACCCGCTAACAACCGAAAGGATTCCCTGGGAGGACCTCCCCAGCCTTCTCCCGCGGCCATCCGAATCGAAATTTCACCGCCTCCAGAGAAGTCACCAGGGACTCGCAAAGGTGAATTGACTCCTCAAGGCTCTTCGGCTCTTCCAAGACCTGTCGGCGATGCCTTTGTATCCCAGTGCTTCTAGGCAACTGTAGGACTGTTAACCAGGAAAATGATGTAAAACCTAGAGGCCTAGACACAAGAAGCACTGGGCATCGGGAGCAGCAGGAACCCCAGAGTCACGTGGGACTTGGGGCCTTGGGGCCTTGGGGACTCGAAGCGTCGACCGATATACCACTGCTCCAACGACCTGGGAAAGGGCGATCGACTCGGCGTCAAGCCAAACTTGCCGGGAGATCAAGCCAGTTCGGGAAGCTTGACCAGTCGTTTGTGGGGGCAACGCTAGATCAGGTGAGGTGCAGGACAAGGTGGCGCATGGCGAGGTCAGGTTGATAACTACCCCGAGGTTGCCGATAGGGTCCCGACACTGCACTGAGTCATGGCACGGCCCATAACCTCCGACCGCCGCCCTCGGGTGGGCTGAGATACCTTTAAAGCCTTCCAGCCTACATCGAGGGCCTACACCAGAACCAAAAACCCATCTGTCACACCCAAAACGTAGGTTCCCCAGGCAAAAAGTGATAAACACTCTTAGCACCCCAAGTTCTCAGTCACCTCCCTTGGGATATTTTGTGGAGATTGAAAATTTGGGGAAATGGCAAAGTTTCAGCAATTTAGCTGCCATGGGAAAACACTTGCTTCTTGTCTTTGGGGCGGGGAAGCGCGGCTCTAAACAAGTTTGCCGAGTTCGCGGTTGGAATCCTTTTCCTGTTGAGGACCCCCCACCCCTCCCCCTGGTAATTTGTCTTTTTCGTATCCCACGTTTGGCTCAACCACAGGCATGGCTCTCATCGCAAAGCATGACCTCGGGGCATGACTTAAGAGAACAAGACAACATAATCACGCAGAGCCAAGCAGTCGCTTCCCAGCAGCTAACCTCATAACTCCAATTTCGTGCCTCGTTGCCGCTGGCATGCTACCTGATCCAAATCCCGAGAAAATCAATGTTTCGACTGATTTGACCCCTTGACATCGCATCATTCTGTGTTTTGTCATGGCTCACTTCCTAAGTGGATTGGAGCGCAGAAGTCCAGTGGTTTGGCTGACCCTTGGGACGTTGTTCTAGTCCCACCAAAAAAAATAAACACATCTTTTTTGTAAAAAAAAGTACATTTCTGAAGTGAGGCTGAGAATGACTTCCGCCCACTTCCAGTGCCTCACCAGAGCTGATGGCTCTCAAGCTGCTGCCCAAGTGAGTCAGCCGCTCCTGGACAGAAGGAGCTTGTTTCTTGATTCCTTTGCATAAAGGAAAACTTGTCGATCTTGTCGATCTTCTTGTTGATGTTGCTTCATGATGCTTCATGTGGTTGCGTCATGAACTACTATCATGTTGTTCTTGTCGATCTTCCCATCAGCTTCTTGTATACTGTATCCTGTGGCTCCAAGAAGGACGTCGGCACGTCCCATGTCTGTGAGAATGCCAAGCGAAACGCATCGAATGCTCGCGGAATGGATGCAGGCTTCGTGTCGTCCGGGGATTCCACATTGGGGATACGTGCTGGCTAGGCCCAAGGATTGGTTCGGGGGGAGGGCTGGGAGTGAGCTGTGGGAGGCTTGCTCACACCAACACCAAGGTAGATCGCACTTGTCAGTGCTTGGGGGCCCTCTGGATGTCTTCATGCCAAGTGAGTAGTAGTAGACCCTCAAAATTCACATAATCTATATATATATATATTTATCAAGTAGTGCTCACAGATTTCTTATGTTTCCACTTGATTTATATAGTTTTACTGGATCCCCCTTGTAGATTGGATTTGGGCTTCCAATTGGCTTAGTATTGGTGGAGTTGAATTTCCATGCACTTCCCCTGTGAACAAAATGCCAGCCTCCCGCGCTCCTGAAAGGAGGGCGCCAACTGCACGTTGGCAACACAGGGCGTGCACCTCGACTCGGCAATGTCTGACGCTTTGTTTCGGGTCCAAAACCCCTGCGGTCTAAAGCCGTTGTTGGAGCCATGGCCCTTCCTGGTGGACCATGGACTACCGATTTCACTTTGACCAAACCTCTTACTAGTCTATGGCACAAACAAAAACGGCTATGGACCGTTCCGCGGCCTTGGCTCAGTCTGGATCGCCAGTGTTTTGGTCTGGATGGCATGTCCGGACCTCTGATCCAGGCCTATTTGAGCCGCAGCCTTTTGGGAAAGGGAAAGAAGCCATTTGTAGAATTCCACCTCCCTTTCGCTCCTGCTCATGGTCCGCCAAAACGAAAGATGTCATAGTCTGCACCTCTTGATTAATGGCGAAATTGGTCACGCGATTTTCTGCCATCTGGCAAGCGCAAACCATGTTCGATTCCGTTGGGAAGAAGGCGGTCAAATGTCTGTCTTCTGTAAGGACCCCCGTCTATCTTGCAGTGTTTTGAGCAAGCGACAATTCTTGCATAGCCAGCTCGCTGCTGACATCACCCATGTTTCACCCCTGTTGTTGCAGCATTGTGTAGAAACGCTGAGGGCCCGGAAGGCTCGTGTGAGCTAAATACGTGTGGCGTTGGCCGGGACGAAGCCATTGTCCCCAGTCTTCGTGTTCTCTGTATACTACATCCTTCTGTTCGCACGTTGAGTGGCGAGCCTCCGAAAGCTTTACGTCTGGGTGTATCCAGTGGGAAGGAGATCGGAGAAACCATCGAATCTCTGACCCAGGAACCGTCAGACTTTCTCGGCTTGGATCTCTTTAGGTTCATTGTAGCAGAAAACACAGAAACGCTGCTTCAAGTGTTGCTGTTTGCGTACACACCCACCGTAAGAAGCCAAGGTTCCAAACTGGCGTTTTTCTATGGGATTTCAGGCTTCGAAGTCTTCAATTCATAGTCCTCGGCATCCCTGCATTCACCCTGTGTATGAGCCTGCTTGTTTAAACCCGTTTAGAGTCCCCTGATTGCCCAACCCCCTTCTTTAAACACACACACAGAAAAAAAAGGGGGAACCAAAAATGGTTAGAGGGGCCACGGGCTAGTTGTTTTGACAATGTTTGCGCAACGCTGTTTGGGGGTCCCGAAAAAAATGTTTCGAGCCACGGCGCACCCTTTGCAATGCTTTCTCGCCCTCCAGCTTGATGCTGCTTGGAGAGCAGTTGGAGCACACGCTATTTCCGCCTCAGCTTTGCCTATGGGTTTCAGGCTTGGGGGGTTGGGGAGGGTTTGCGGCTTGGGTTTGGTGGGGTGGGTTAGGCTAACCGGGGGGGGGAGGGGGGGGAAATTCGGATCCCGACGGCGCCTTCTCTCAGTCACAACCAAATTGTTGTATCAAAGGAGTCTTCCGTGTGAGGAACCCACAAGGCCTTGAGTGCCTTTTCGTGATTGGGAATGTTCCTAACTAACCATCAACTGCCCAGGTTTGATTGTAGCTCATCCAAGTCTCCAAATCGCAAGTGTTGGTTCCCAAATTGTAGTTTGTTCCTAGATATGCGGTCAGAGATCATGCAGTGCACTGTCACCCGACTGCAGTGGACGGCAGTGTCGGCGTAGGAGCCACCTATTGCCTTGGTGAAAAGGTCTTACTTTTCCCGCTGTGAAAAAAGTAACATGAGGGCCAAATAGTTACACAGGCAGTTTGGTTTATTGGTACCCAGCAACCCCATTCGAATGGTGTTGGCCGCCAATACTACAGTACTTGAAACCAACTGAGTCTGGCCTCCGATCCGAGGCTACGGCATACGCGGCAATGGTGCCTGCCATGGAGAGTCTCTCGCACTTGATGGCTAGGTTGCGCTGTCCTCCGAACATGGGTTATTAGATTCAGGTGGTTTGGGAAAGAACGAGCCCTAAATTGTACTAGATTCATCTTGGAGACATGTGTGCGTGTGTGGTTCTTGAGGGTACCCGTTTCAGGTTGGTTTAAAGGCAAGCCACAAGGAAATCCACCATTTTTGGCAGGGGGCCCTACTTTGACACAACCTACATTGTAGCAAATAGTTTCATTTCAGCTATCATGTTGACCTCAAAATAGGTCTATGTTCCAGTGCCACAGAAAGTGATGCGCCTCTCTCCAGCGAACTGAGGCGGCTTTTGAAGCAAACATTATTGTAGAATAGTGGCCAGTTCTGATGAATCATCCTTCTCTATCAATGTGTGCTCACTTTCCTGTACACCACTTTGAGACGGTTCTTGTGAGATCAGTGCTGTGCAGGTGAATCCAAGGTTGATACCGCGAACTGACTTGCCAAAACCCTGATGAAAAAGATATTCAACTCTCAAATGACAAGGTTAACATTCCCTGAACGTTGAATGGTTTTGTGTTGGACCAACCTGTCCAGAATCAGTGCCGAGTCGGAGTCTGGCCACTTACATCAAACATAATGTGTGTTCCACTTCTACAGGCAAAATGTTGCACGCAAACAAAATCTACACCATAACTTCTAGAACTAACAACTGGCACTGTTTTGCACAAAAAACAAACTGCTCATGAACTCTGTTGTCAATCATCGCTTCAGACCTGTGTGTGCAGGGGAAAACAACTTTTGCGCAGGAAATCGTGATAGCTTCAGACGAACATCGATACATGGTTCGAGCACTGGGCGCTGCCTAAGAAAATATTACTTTAGGGACCCCCCAACCAAGGATTGCGATTTGTGAATTTTGCTTCCGGAGGGCAGAACACATAAGGGAAATACTGGTTCCATACTCTTAAAAGACCCCTTTGGAAAAATCAGAGCCGATTCTACCTACTTGTGTATCCATCCCCATCCCAAACTGGAAGGATGTATCCACCTTGGTATATGGTATTGGTCGTTTGTACACACCGGTGGTAATGTAGTAAACACATAGAGCGTCTTTTTCAATGTGCACCCAGCTCGGAATACCTCTATTAGGGATAGGGATACCCTTCCTTTCTTTGCTTATATGCCGTTTGTGCATGGGTGTTCATAGAGACCTATCCCTATTTTGTTCTGAATCAATGCATCCTGACCTCTACATAAACTTATGCGAACATGCACATATGTATATACATGTGTATGCTTGTATCTATATGTATATATGACGGTTGTCTGAAACTCCTTGTTCCGGAAACCGCCATCTTCGCGAGAAAAGAATTAACTTTCGCGGACCCCATCGCGGAACTTTCGCGGGGCTGTTTTCAGAACATTCATCACAAAAGTAGTACACGAAGTACACTTTCGCAGCCCCAGCGCGAAAGTCGCAGCTCTTCAGTGCTTGAATTGGAAAGTACTACACGAACTAAACTTCCTCAGCCTCGAAAGTCAGAGCTTTTCAATACGAAAGTAGTACACAAAGTGAACTTCCGCAGTCCCAGCTCGAAAGTCGCGACCTTTCAGTTCCAAAGTAGCACGCGAAGCGCGCTTCCGCAGCTCCAGCTCACAAGCCGCAAGCTGCGCATGAGAGGACCCGTTGGCCTCATGTCCGGAAGGAAACTGGCGGGGAGGTCCGTCGACTTTCGCGAAACTTTCGCGGATCTTACGCCAAATATTCGCGAAAATCCGGCTGGAAGTTGCGCTCAGCTTGCCCCGACAGCTTCAAAACTCCCAGAAGCTGGTTTCTGCTGGCTGGGGGTTGCTTTTGCAGCGGCGTATTCTTGCGGCGACCCTCAGGCTGCGCATTCTCCGACCAACTTTACTCTGCGGGCATTCTGCGCGCACTGCCGGTAGATACACATGGTTCATCACTCCAGCTTCCTGTTAGCAAGCCACACAAAACTTCCGCGGAAAAAAAACATAACTTTCGCGACCCCCTTCGCGGAACTTTCGCGAAGGTCAACGCTAAGACCAAAAGGTCGTCCCCTGCATAGCTCAATACAACGACCTTTCGGACGACTCGAATATATATAGCATATTGTAAATGGAGATATAAGGCTATGAATTTGAGGGTATGTGACGAGCGAAGCGGCACGAATCTTGTATGTAGCAGGGTTGCTTTCTTTACGAAAATGTAGCGGGAAAACAGTGCTTGGCAAGTGTCAGTTGCACAATATAGCACAGAACAAAAGTGCCGCAGCTCCAGCATCTATTCAGTGCTTGTTCAACACGCAAGCGCACTTCCGCAGCTCCAGTTTGAGAATTGGAACTATTCAACGCAAGCTAAGTTGGGTCTGCAACGAGGTATGCAACGGCTATGTAACGAATGTAACGAAAGGCTTCTTTCTTGCGCCTTCATTCTTTCGGTTTTTCCCTGCTACCTGCTCTTCTTCTGAATGGCAAGCTCTTTGCAAGCTGACTCTTCAGCGACAGCACGCTCTGCAAAAGTCTGCTCGGCACCCATGGAATATCCCTGAGAGTCTGGGTGTGCATCCGGGTATGTAACGAGGGGCATGCAACCGGGTCTTGTTACAAAGAGGTCTGTAACACATGTCCGCCGCGGCTCTGTTACAGACCCCTCCAAAAATCCACTGCCATATATCAAACAAATCAGACTCATTGTTTGATGGGTGGGAGACCTAGAGCTGGACTTGGAGCGCTAGCCTGGAGGAAGCCTGCCTGAGAATTCCATCGCTTCGATTGGCATACCTGGTGCTTGGCAAGCCAGTATAGTAGTAATCAGGGATTCTTAGCATTAGGTCTTACATGATGGCTTCTGCTGGTTACCTGGGAGCACTGGGCTAGCCGTTTTCCTTTTTGGTTTGAGAAGGCTTGCCTTTGACCCAAGTCGAGCGCTGGACCCCAAGGCGCGATCCTGGGATTCAGGTAGCGCTTGGAAAAGGCGCTGCCGCAGTAGGCGCAGGCACTGGCTTCCGCCCAGCCTGGGCAGGTCGTGTCGAGCTTCAAAGTGTCGGAGGACTTGGGACTATCCCTTAACCTTCATCCCTTTCGTTATAAATCTTAGGTTGACTTTTATTTATACCGGTATCCCATCGTTTTCCCTTCGCCTTCAAAATGCATCCCTTCGTTTGGCTATGGTCGGTAACCACTTTTTGAAGGTAACCATTTTGAGCAACCGAAGGTAATTTGGGGGGTCTCAAAGAAACACACGAGGCACGAAGCATGCCTTAAACCGCGGTTTGCAAAGAAGGTCGCTATGGGATTCCTATTGGAAAACCACGAAACAGAAATATGACTTCCACAAAATGGGAAATCCATGGTCATTTGTGGACAGCCAAACAAAAATTATCAACCACCATATTGACTCTCAGACCAAGGACTGTGTATGGGCATCCTCCAATGAAGTGTTCAACGCGTCTGTCATACAAATGCAGATACCCTCCCTCCACTAACATGGCACCTGACAGAGGGTGCCTTGAAGAGGAAATTCATCTTTCAGGTACCCTCCCACAAATGCTACGTTGGTCGGGTAGATGAGCATAGCGTGGGCAAGAACGTGAGGCAAGCGAATGGTACTGGGACAAAGCCCATCGCCTTCCTCGGAACGAAGGTTCCCCGGCACGGCTTTGGCAGGCGAACCTGAAAACACCGACCTGTGGGCAATTAGGCCTTCCGGATTCCCGCATGTCACGGCAAAAAATCGTGAGTTGCTAGCTTCAACACGGTGAGCCCGCATTCTGTCTCGAAAATGTTGTCTCTTGTATATTCTGCCGACAGTTGCCCTTAAAACGTCTTCACTCCTGATGTTTGACCCAAACAGGGCAATGTAAGGACCCGATATATGTCAAAGCCGCGCAAACATTGAGAGCCTCAACCACGTTTGCCAGGGGTGCAAGAAAGAAAATCTCAACTGAGGAAGCGTTGGATACAGCACGTGCCAGGAATGAGCTCTGGCCGCGAAGCATTTTAAGGGTCGGGATCCCTGTGCATGTTTGTTGTTTGGCATGGAATCTTCCTGGAGTCATTGGGGGGGGGGGGGGGGAAACATTACAGAAGGGGTCGTCATGGGGGCTGAGTTTTTTCAGATTCCTGGGGGCTGAGTTTTTCAGATTCCTGGGGGCTGAGTCTTTTTTCAGCAAAAAACAAAAAACACAGCCCATCATCTGCATGTTCTAGTTCAGGGCCATGGGTCTGTTTTTTTTTTTGGTTTTTGATGCCTTTGCTCATAAACACCAAGAAAACCAAAAAAACACAGCCCATCATCTGCATCTGCTAGTTCAGGGCCATGGGTCTGTTTTTTGTTTTTTTTGGGTGCCTTTGCTCATAAACACCAAGAAAACCAAAAAACACAGCCCATCATGTGAAGACAATACTTTGTTGATGCTTTCTTGATGCAAGCTTTCTTGATGCAAGACATCAATAATATGATGAGATGTGTAACAGAACATAAGCCTCTTCCAAGATATTCTGTAGGTAACTCCAGGTAACTGGGGATAATTTATCTCATCTCTCATTTCATCTTCTGCAGGTAACATCTCATCACAAGCAATTGCTTGTGGCTTGTGTCTACTTGAATCTATTCTGAACAGCTTTACTGTTGAAAGAGCTCTTCAGCAACACGAATAGCTGCAGAGAATCTTATTCCAAAGCTCTTATTCCAAAGCTGAACAGCTTTATGCAGAGAATGGTATTTGCATCTGCAGATATCGTTGCAGGTGCTCATCTTTGCATCTTGTGCTTCTTGAGCTCAAGCAACTAGATTGGAGCTGTGCTCCAATTGCTCCAGCTCATTATGCGATAAATATGTTTGTGTTAGCTGTCTTTTCTCAAGAGCATGGGCAGAGCCCATGCGTATATTGTAAAATAGTGAACATCCAACTGTAAAAAGAGATGAGCCTTGCAGCTGAAAGCTGCATAGATCAGTGATATCTTACCTTTCTTATGATTTCATATGCGTGGCAAGCTGTGCTTGCCATACTTACGTGTTTCAGAATTGCAACACAACAATAATATTTGTCTCAAACATACATCTGCTTGCAGATTGCTAAGCATACGTCTTCCAAAATATTGCATACGTATGCAACTTGTGTTGAAGATTTGTGCCAAACATACGTCTTCCAACAGTTAGCACCCTGAGGTTTATAAACCTGGCATGCGTAAGCATGCCAATTATCCAAAAATAAGCTACAGACACACGTTTGCTAAATATTTGTGTCCAACAATGATATTTGTGCAAAATAGTTCTCAACAGGCTGTCTTCTGTGCAGATTGAAGCTAGCTCATTTTCCAGGTCTGGATGCATCTGAGTCTTCATTGGATCGAAAATGAATCTGTGCTTGCATGTCATCAGCCAAAAAAACAAAAACGCACCCCAATAAATCTAAGAGGTCACGGGTCTTGATCGTATATGTTTGGTATTTTTTTAGTGTTTTTTAATGGAAAAACTCAGCCCCCAAGAATCTGAAAAACTCAGCCCCCAGGAATCTGAAAAACTCAGCCCCCAGGAATCTGAAAAACTCAGCCCCCATGCCGACCCGCCCTCAAACATTAAGAGTTAGTTGATCGGGCAGCATGCCACAAATATGATAAATGCCTTACGCAGTGCTTCTTCCAGTTATGACAGTGGGTATCGGGGGGAAACCATGCAGAACCTAGAGGTAAGGATCCCTGATTGGAAGCACTGTGTAACGCAGGTAAATGTTTGACATGCTATAAGCGACAGGTAGTGATGTGTGTTCCCCATCTTAAGCCATGGAGCGTAGCATGGAAAAGCCAGGGCCAACGCCAAAAGGACACTTCGTATAGAACTTGAAGAACCTGAATTGAGAACCTCCGAATCGTCATCGCGTTTTACCCGCTAGGTGAGCTCGTTAAAACTGAGAGGCTGTTCCAAGGCATGCACATCGAAAGCTTGGCCTAACTCTTGCAAACAATATTGAAGGCATTCAGGCAAGGCAATAATTGGGTCTTGTACGAAGCAAACAGTTTCCAGCCGACCCCATTGCCCCGCCTTTCCGGCTCTCTGAGGTCTCATCCCCCAAAGTAGAGCCGCCCTCATCTGTGGTCGCCATGGCTAGCGTGAATCGGGTGTGCCGGGCACTGGATTTGCAGTTTCCGAAATGGGAATCCACAAACAGGAACTCTGCACCAAACAGGTGCGCTGTCTTAGCGGAGTTGATCGGCGGAAAGTTTCATGAGTTATCGGGCGCAAGTAATCATCCGCTTCCCCTCATAGAACTGTGTTTATCATGCAAATATTAGTCCAGTGCTCTGGTTTTGCATTCGAGTGGCAGTGCTCACTATGAGCACCCTGTTCCGCAAGAAGGTCACTAAAATTCAGTACTCTAGGATGCCATTTCTGCGTAAATAGTCTACTCAATTTTTTGGGTGGTCTCTTGTTCTGCTACGGTTGCCTGCCAGGAAAGGAATGAGGGTTTGCTGATTCAATTTGACTCGGAGTCTACAGGTCCTGCTTTATGAGCTTGCAAAGAGACATGGTTCACTATAAGGACCTCATTCAGACAATATCATCCAATTCGGATCGGAAGCTGCAAATCAATAAGTTGTCAACCCCTTTCAGTTGAACATGATCATATTTCAACCAGGAAACACTTCAGCGATAAAAGTCGCAGTCATTCAATCCACCGGTTTACTTCCGATCGGCCCCCCCGCAAAATATCTCACACTTCCGATTGTTGGCCCAAATGACTTCCAATGGGCGCACACACAAACACACACTGTGCTATATTTGTCACAGGCGAGCCAAGGGTGAACGGGTCCCACTCATGATCTTCTTTGCCCCCAGGCTGTGCCGCATGCTGCGGCATCCTGAGCCAGATCCGACATGTACGTCGTGTGGAGATCTGAAGCTGCCCTCCGATGAAATGGCGATGCCTTGCTGCTTCCTCTTGTCTGCTCGGGGGCAAAGGCCACTTCCGGACCCCTTAGGGCTATTACTAGTCCATGCGACCATGGTTGTTTTGCAGACGGTATGGCCAAAGCAAACAAGAGCACCAGCCTTCGCGGACCCAGTTTGATTGAGAGCGTGCGAAGCTCTGGAAATCACCTCGATCCAGCTTCAAACAGAACATGCCGTTGGGGCTCCGACGGTTTGGCACATTCTTCCAGAAGCTTTTGTTTTTCCAGAGCAGCCTTCTGCCCCAGGTGGCTTGTCAATTGGGTCCCTTTCAGAGCCCTCATGGCTTGACGTACTTGCCCTGCCAGGCCATGAAGAAATCCCATAAACAAGAAAAACCTGTGCCGGACATTCGGGATTTGTGGAACGTGACGTCGCAACCATGTTAAGGGCCTCATTGACGCATTGAATCAACCTCCTTTGGGTGTTCAAATACCGAGTCGAGTCTGGACCTAAACAACATCTGTCCTGTGTCTCCCTTGAATAGACACCAGCAACATGCGTGCGTGTGTGTGTGTGTGTCAAAACTAGGGACCCCACAAATCAAGGGCTTCTTCTCTTGGTTTCTCGTCCCAAGGTGACAAGCGTACCCTCCCAACATCCCGACACGGCGTGCCTGGGCTCGTGCCGGTCCTGCCGCTCCTGCCAGCTGCGCGTCCAGGCAACTAGGGTCTAGAAGACAAAATAAAAAGCAACACCAATGCATCCTGGAAGGTCCTCCTTTTGGGTAGGTTGAACAAATACGGGCTGTTTAGTTCAACCAGAACGGGAAAAGTGACCAAGCTCCGCGCATACTGGACAGTTGGATCCCCGGACTGCAAACGCCACACTCACCGTAGGCCCGGTGAGGAGATTGGGCAAACAACATTGAGCGCGCTCGTCCTCAAAGCTATCGGTTGCACACGCCAGAAACAAAAAAAAAGAAGGAAAAAACAAAACATCGTGCAACCTCGCAACCTCAGAAGCGCCCTAGAATACCACTTTGCGTAACTTGCAGCAGGCGCCAACCAAACCCTGCACCGAGTCAAACCTTGGCCCTACACCTTCCGAAAGCACCGGGCAATTCGGCTCTCGGTCATGTACACTTGCGGCTTTGCAACAGCACCCTGCTGCACACCCTTGAAAAGCACCATGCAAACGCACCCTGCAACAGCATCATTCAAAGAGCTTGTCCACATCTCTTCTTGCATTCCTAGATGTGATGTTCCCATTAAGTATTGCGCCTTGTCCAACTCACATCCCCAAACTTGGCCCTGGGGATGTCAAAAGCGATGTGGACAAGTTCGCCGCACCCTCGCCCCGCACCCAGCACCCCGCTCTCACAGACACTTGTCTTAGATCCTCTATAGCTTTCAGCCAGGGAAACAAAAGAACATGTTTCCAATAGCATCGTAAACCTTTTTGCCATTGGTTTTCCATCTATCCTTCAAAACCCGGGTGCATACTTCTCGCAAAACCCCGGGCACTGGGTGCCAATATTGATGACCTGAAAGTTGCGAAAAGTGTCTTTGGCCCTGCACTGTCAAGCTCTTTGCATTCAAACGTAGGGGGGAAGTGGCTAGGGGGTTTACTGCAAAGGAGGCGAAAGGGAACATGCTCAGGTTGACTTGTCTGCGAGTTCTGTGTGGAAGTCGGTGTTTGGGGGTGCGTTCCATATCGTACCTGAACGCCAACGCACATCACATCGTCACTCCCTATCTACTTCCAGGAAGCGGTCTCCATGCGAGCAGTATTTTATCGGCTTGCATGCTTCCTCACGCATTGACTGGCCAACTCTGTAAGCTTCGCGCATTGCCGGGGCTTAGCTCTGAGAAGCGAGCCCAAGGTGTGAGCCGAGCGGTCAACTTTCCTCGAGACCATGGCACGTGGAGTTGCTCTCCATTCTCCGGCGATAGTTTCATTAAGCCCACCTCCCGTGCAAAACTGCGTGAATTTGGGCGGCCACTTCCGTGGATCCTCCTGAAATCAGGCGGAGCAAATGCACTCGGAAACCACACTTTGCATGTTTAAAGGGAAACCTTCAAGACAAACCATATAGGAAACACCCTAATATGGGACATTTATGCAAATTGCCTACTTTGAAAAAACGCCTACGTGGCCACATGTTCTCCCAGGCCAGCATACTGAACCTGTCCTCCAATCACTGATGCTGGTTTCCTAGCTGTACCTTTATTTGAACAGGCTTCAGTCAGACAAGCCCATCAAATAACCCATGTGTTCGGTGTTCACAGGCGGTGGCCAGAACTGTCGTCAAACTCAGATGCGATCCCAATGAGGCATTATTTGAGAAGCTCCTCTTCTTGTTCCAAAAGCAAGAAACCGACCTCCTTGCTTGCAAGTTTGACTTTCTGATTTTGAGCAACAATCAACAGACCCCCTAGAAAAGGGTGTCTATACGCTCCGAAGGTCCGAACCGAACTTTTGCTGAGGTCTCAAGAATGTAAGTTGCAAACGAGGCTCCTTTTCTGGGGCCAAACCTTCAGTCAGGCCTTGTCTAAGGGCACCGCAATGCCCAGCAAAATGCACGCAAACTCTTACACCAATACATGTATGACTGTCACTTGAAGAACGGCGGGGAGAGATACTATATATGTATATGAATCTGAATGCATGTATACACACATGTTGTGCGTATAGAATATGTTCATATGTGTTCATAGACGTATGTACACATGCGAAAGTTCAGCAATGCTTTATAGGCTTAGATATGTGCTTATGTGTGTAAGTATCCAGTAATCTATACATGAGACATGTACATATGAATATGTATATATCCATCTATGCTCTCCCCCTAAACGTACATGTTTGATCTGGGGGGAATGCAACAAATAAACCATAAGAAATGCGTTGGGGAAAAGGTGGGAAGAATAACAATAACCACCCAATGAGAATGATAAAGTGTGTTCGTGAGGATGAAGGAAACTGGTTTCGTGCCAACAACCTTTCCCCATTGAATATCATTCCAGAGTTATTGCTCCTAAGGACCAAAACGCACATGTGCTACAACACAGTATGTATGATGTAGTCTTGGATCCACTTTAGCATTTCCTAGAAGTATTCCTGTTGACCCCCTATAGTAGACACTAATCAACAGAGAAGAAAGAAGAAGACAACTGTAAAATTAAGGTATAATGAAGATGGGTTGGAGACATGTGCAAAAACAAGCAAAGACTTGTGTATCAGTTGGTACAGAAAAATGCGACTCCTGTAAAACAAGGTTTGTATCACTTTCTGAACCTACTGTGTACATACGACGCCCCCAAACCCAAACAAGACCTCCAAGACAAGAAGCAGATGACGTGACAAAGGTCAAGATGTAAAGTGTTGGGAGAGCTTCTATTAGGTTCTCCTCCAAATACTGGATCAAAGAAGAACAGTGCATTGGCATGAAGATCGCCCAACATGAAAAGAAGCGAACCATAGTAAACAGGTAATGTTAGGAAAAGAGTGAAAGCCGCAATCAAGAACAGAGAATGGGAAAGCACTTAACATAAAATAAGCAGATCTCCGACTTAGATTTGCTGTCCAAAAGTAACGAGGTGTAAGGCAATAGGATACACCGGAGACTACAGTAATAACCCTAACATAAGATGTCCTGTCCTCGACAATGATACAGTCCTAAAAGAAATGGGCACTTGTGGATGTAAGGGGCGTCCTGTACCATCTCCGAATTCTGAAATTGAAGAAACGATTAGGAACACGTGTTGAAGTAGAATAATTACAATAGAGAAATGATCGTCCCTCGGATATACTACTGCTGGAGATAATGGTGTCCAAACCCTCCAAACAAGCCAGGCGTTGCTAAAGAAAGATCACAAGAAAACCATGCAATGTGTGGGTTCTATAATAGAGGTTCTGGTTTTCTGGAGGTATAGTCCTATTTCCTCACGAAATACAATTGGACTGGTGTTTTGCTACACCGGATATTCCAAAAGATGAGTCAAAATAAAAAGACCATCCTGAGACTGTATGAATATAACTGTTCATTTGACACTGAAAAACTACAGAAAAAGCAACAAATAAAAGTCTGGATAGTTAATGACTTAATATTTGGTTGTCACCCTCTCTGTATCTTGTGATTATGGAACTTGGCAAACAATGAAAAGAAATATCAACATAAAGGGATGACAAAGACAAGCAAAGAACATGAAAAGAACCATTTGATGTTGGAATCTAGTCACCTGCGCACGAAGCCATCGCAACAGGTCATCAA